TTTTTTTCATTTGCTTATATATAAAATACAAAAGCTTATACCTTTAGCTTTAAACCAATACATTTGACGTGTTTATACGTCCTGTCCGGTTAACAGGTTAAGATTAAATTTGTCGCGACTTTAAACACTTGATAAAAAAATAACTAAAAATATTCAAAATATCTTCATACACTTGTTCGTTTCAATTCCCATCATCTTTTATTGTACATACCATTTTTTCCCCTGTTGTTTTTGAAATAAATTGTAAAATCACGGTTGCAATGATTACTAAAAATATACGTCAAGAGCTCTAATAAATTCCTATTGAGTTTGTTTCTTCTTTTTTTTCTCTACTATTCACTAACCAAAGTTTTCATTCTTTCATTTTTCGATTTTACAATACCTGATATCAGAAATTTCATTTACTGGTGTACGCAAGGAAGGGATGATGGGGTATACGGAATAAAAATATGAGGGAGACAGGTCGAAGGAACGCGAGCAATCCTTCCCCCGTTGTTGTTGACCCTATTTTATCCTTTTTCTTTCTATTCTTTCTTTTCTATCTATCCATCTATCTTTCTCTTTCTATCTTGAACTCCTCCACTGGTTTCCTATGTCTTCTATGAAAAAAAAAAAACTAGAAAAAGAGAGCCCTATCTCTTGGATGGTACTAAACTTCCGAATAAAAACCATCGATAGAGACAGACCACACCATTAAGCGTCGTGATATGCCGTACAAATCACGTCTATCCAGGATTTATGGAACCCGTTCATCCCTTCGGCGTATCACGCGTTATCGCCAGCAACAACGGCCGTGTACCCGAAACGATATTCCTGCATGAGAACGCTTCGTTTCAACAGCATCGAAATACATGACCCTTCTTCTCTCTCACTCTCTCTCTTTCTCTCTCTTTCTCTCTCTTTCTCTCTCTCTCTCTCTCTCTCTCTCTCTCTCTCTCTCTCTCTCTCTCTCTCTCTCTCTGCCGGCGGTGTCGGTAAACCTGCATATCGCGATTCAAAACGATAGCGCATCATCGTGTTCCAGAATCGTTACCACCACACATCTATATAAATGTAGAAATATTAAAAAAAAAAAAAAATTGAAACTTTCCTCGGGGAAAAGGCTCCTAAATAACTGTCAAGTTTTTTGTTTTTTTGACTATGGAGGCCTGTTTTCTTTTTATGATAACGCGTATTAGGTATAAAATCATAAATGTTTGATTCAATAATGGGGTAAGATACAAAAATTGGCAACTTATTATTAGTTTTTCTTTATTTTATATATTAAGTTGATTTTTTTATTTTTTTTTAAATAATATATTTATATTTAATTTTGCGCCCTTTTCTTTTTATAATATCGGTAATTATAACGCTTGTTAAATATAAAATTATAAATGCAATATTAATTCGATTATGGGTTACAACAAAATTGTCAACTTAGTTTTTCTGTGTTAAATAATATTAATTAATTTTTATTATTATTATTTTTATTTATTTTTAAATGATATATTTATATGTTTGAGTTTGGGTCATTGGTAATTATAACACATGTTGAGTATAAAATCATAAATGATGGATTCAATTTAAGGGATACGATAAAAAAATTGGCAAACAGTTTTTCACTGATATATAAATATAT